TACAGTCCTTTAGCTTCTGAGGTACTCGAGTTATCAGCTTGCCCGAAAAAAACTTTGGCGGTCCCGCACGCGGGTACCACGCTTACCCGGGGGCTGAGTTTGAACTTACTAATACCCACTTGGACGGGGAACATCCTCCTAAGATTCCAGCGTTCTAGCTTCTCAGATCCCCGAGTTATGAACTTACCTAAAAAAATTTGGCGGGCTCGTACGCGGGTACCGCACTTATCCGGGGACTGAGTTTGAGCTCACTAATACCCACTGGGACGGGGAACATCCTCCCAAGATTTCAGCGTTCTAGCTTCTCAGGTACCCGAGTTATGAAATTACCCGGAAAAAATTTTGGCGGGCCCGTACGCGAGTACCACGCGGGTAATGGCGCCAATTTTGGGGATTGGAGCCCGCACGTGCAGGTACATTAATTACCCAAAGTTTCAGCCCTGTAGCTTTTGTAGGTCTTGAGATGAAAAACCGTGACAGACCCACACACAGACGCACACACACACAGACAACCTCTCGTCATTATGCGTTTTTCGCATTTCATAGCTGCAAAAAACGCATAAAAAATGAACTGGACGAACGTCGCGTACAGCTGTTGGTATTTACGAGGAAGAAAACGACCGCTCGGACAAACAGACATGCGCATCTGCGTCCTTGGAGTGGTACCTAGCACTTGAAATGGCTACTAGTTCACCCCTGATGCATCTTCGGAACGCTCATCAATGATGTAACTGACAGCCATGCCATTTTTAGCGATCTGCAAGTTTAGCGCAAAAACGCATGATCACATCGGCAAGTCTGATGCGTTCCAGCCTGGTTTCTTTTTTCATTTTAGTGGCTATTTTGACCACCAGTAGTAGTGGTCAGCTTTTTGGCGATCTTAAAAAATGAACTGCTCCAAATGGTGATTGGTTAACATATCAAATATGCTTAAAAATATTACGTTTTTTTTTTACAAAAACATATTTTTTCTCAATGCTACCATTTAATAAAATGGCATGTTTTTTTTTAACCCTAGGCCTCCTACTTCATTTTAGACTAATGAGGAATTGTTGAAATTGGTATTTATTGTTGCTCTCCTGCCGCTGCCATTCACCGTTTTTATTTTCGCATTCGCTGTGTAAGCACTGTTTTAAAATTCAGCTTTTTTGGCTAGTTTTTTTATCTTTTTTATGCTATTTTGCAGACTTAAATTTAACTTATCTAATGACAGTTAACAAACATGCCTTAATGAAAACTTGCTTCCTTATTTGGTGCTCGTTGAGGAGTCTTACTGGTCTGTTAGTGACAGTCCTCGTGAACAAATTGACAGAATAAGCGGATCGGGCAGTAATTCTTCAGATCTTACTTTCTGCTTATCGATACAGCTCGTTTTATTCTTTTTTTTTGTAAGCTTATCGTATCTGTGTATCTCCACATAGAAGTTCAGCTGGATCCCGCTATCTCAGCTGTTTGGGTAGTACTTTTTTTGAGATTTTTTTCCTCTTTCTAACATTCCTACGAAAAGTCAACAGTTACTGTTCTATCTCGGGCAAGAAGTAAATTTGTGACACAATCTCCAACAAGGCACTGCACTTCGAATGGCCGCTGTTTGACGCAAATTCCACAGCATGGTCGGTGTCCTCGTAGATTAACCCAACTTTTTCCCCCAGCTTATGTTGCCTTAGATGATATTTAATGGCGGCTGTAGTAAATAGGAGCTTCAGTACTTCATTGGAAATGTGCTGCAACTTGTTGACACCCACCATTCATCGTTCCATGGTTTGCTTGACAGTCACTAAATTTTTTTTTTGCTCAGTGCACGTTTCGCTTCCATACAACAGAACTGCTAATACAGTGGGATGGTGTCATTTATTTTAGAGATTGTTATGCCTGTTTTTTTAACTCGCTTTAAATTTGTTTCTTAAAAAGACATGAAAAGCGTTAATATTGATGTTTTTTTTTATGTTAACAATGAGGAATTTTGCCAGTAAAAGCGAAAATTTCCTAGTATATTACAAAGAGTTTCAACCAAATTCTGACAGTTCTGACTTCTTCGACCATTTTGCATGTAATAAAATTCCAAAGATATCTGCTTTTATAGATGTGCAATGACCTCACCCCTCTTCTCATATATAATCGTTTTCCATCTAATGATATTTCAGCATGCCTTGTGTTGTGTGAAAAAACTTTATTTTCACTGAATTGCTCATCATTCATCAAAATTTACGATTTTTTTATTTTCATAATTCTTGATAAGATTGACTTTTTGCTAAAAAAATTTTTAATTTTAAGAATATTTTTTCCTCGCTTCATTTTGACGCGTCATTTTTGGACCATTGATCAAAAAAGGCGATTTTGGTCAACGAGCATAAAACGATCAACGCAAATGCATGTTGTTCCACTTCGAAAACACCTCGAAAAAATGGTAAATTTATTAATTACAATCTTTGCAATAATGAGATTAAATGACGCACATACACTGAACAAAATTGATGGGAATTAACTGGTAGTATGCAGCTCAAGATTGAAAGGCCTGATGTAGTCCGATGTGAGCATAGGCGGATCCGGGGGGAAAGGGGACGGGAGGGCGACCGGTCTTTCACCGCCTCTCCCTCCTCCCTCTCCCCCTCCGCTTCCCCTTCGAGCTACACAGGCACCGATGCTGTAAAAAGCTAAAACTAAAGTAAACTAAAGCTTAAAGTAACTCCAAGTAGCAGTGATACAAATCCACTCCTAGTTTTTGCATAGTTCCAAAGTGGAAAGGACTGTCTGCTTCCCACTCCCGTGCCCCCTCCCCCGTTCCCCCCGAGAGCCCCGTTCTCTCTCCCGCATCTCCGTCGCCACTCCCCCTTCCTCAGAAGTCCGTCCTGGATCCGCCTATTGGTTTGAGAGAAATTCCAGTAACATCACTGACAGGGGATAGCCACACCGATAACCCGGGTGATCCTGGTAATCGTGTTTTGATTTAAAATAACTGATGGGGTTTTTTTCAGAATGTCAACTTAAATGCACCAGTTGACGAGCTACGCAAAATGGAATTACCAAAAATAAATACATTTTCGTTTACTCATCTGGTACATTTTCATATTTTTTTACCTGCTTTTATATTTTTTTACACTTTTATTTTTTATTTTTGTATTTTTTTCATACACAATGTAGATCTTCTTGTCTGTCTTCCCTAAAATTTCTTGATTTTTTAATGTTTTGTTTCTAATTCAACCCTCGTTTTTCTGAAATTTATTCATATAAGAGACACTAGCAGCTAAAAAACTATGCCATCGGAGTAATTTGCCGGTCTTTTTTTCAGTACCACTTGTCAAGGCTTCATCGTGTAAGCCTATTCACTGGCATACGTGGCCTGCATTCGCATGCCGAAACATTGCGATGTTTGGATCGGTCTTTGAAAGCTAAAAGTACCGCAATTGATGCGATGAGTGAGCAAGAGCTGTGGCAGGTAAAAATATGTTCAAAACAAAACTGGTTTCTTATCCACTCTCTAAAAAAGAGGGAGGCGATTGGAAGTAGCCCAAGGAGCCAAGTTTTAGTAGTTGCTGCTGGTTGCTGCTTTTTTTTTGAATATTAATTTTCTGTTCGACCTCACCATCGTCACAGATTTCTGGTCAGTTTTTTAGTAATTCTCAGGGTTTAACGCTCTTAGTTCAGGCAGGAACGAGCATTCGGTTGGTGTATTTAGTGAAAGGGATGAAAAAAACTGAATTTAGGCAACTAAAGTCACAAAATTGTCGTATATCCTGCACCTCAGTGTCATGGAAGAAGAGTTCTGCATTGCTAGGAGTAGAGTTACAGATTTTTACAGACAGTAAAGCCTTAATGTCATGTTATTTGATGTTACAGCAATTTTATCTTCGACGACTGCAGTATGATGGATTGTCCGAAGAAGATATGAAACATTTCCTAAAAGTCTGGGTTGAACATATGGCCGGTAAGTGATCATATAATTGGAATAGGAATTTTGGGGCCATTCATAAAGGTTCGATCTAAATGTCACTTGTTTTGATGGACATGTTGGAGAGCATTCTGTGTCTCATCCCTTAGCTGTAAAGCAGCACAGTGTGCGGGCAGGAGTGGGAATCATCAGCACAGCTTCTTACTCACCGTGCGTATAGGAGTGAGCATGTTTTTGTTCAATCAAGAATAGAATAAAGAGATGACATTGTAAAAAGAAAAAAACGATGAGAAGTAAAGAAAAGAGAAGAGAAAAAAAGATCTAAAGAAAACGTTAGCGCTTTGTAATAGTTGTAGCTATATATCTGCCAGCTTTTCCAGTTACTCTGACGAGTGCTGTATCGTCTGTTGGTCAGCCTGCTGGCTACCCTTTGTCCACAGTAATAATCTAGTGCTAAAAAGATGTCGAAAAGTACAAAAATTTTTAAATTTTTGTTGCTAAAAGATATCGAAAAGTTACATTTTCGTTAAATTTTTAGAGCCTGACTTGAAAACATCAGTTTATTTGCATGCTTCTGTCTTTGAATGGGCTTCAAAAATGAACAGAAGTGAAGACTCCGGTGCTGTTCATAAAAAGTATTGAGGAAAAAGAGCTTACGACGATCTGATATGTGATATTTTTTACGCGCATTTTTTCTTATAGACAAATTTTCGTTTCGTAAATTTGAAGCTGTTTGTTATGCGAATAATATTGTCGAGATTTCCTGATTTTTCGCTGTCGATATTATTGAAATGAGAAGGGTAGAAAGGGCCATGGAGGCCCAACCAAGAAGTAATCATTCCAGATAGGAGTACAGTCGCATGTAGTATTTAAATCCTTAATTTCACCTGTAATCATGATTGTACAGCAGGTCTTCTCTTACTGACCTATTTGGAATAACTGAAAAAGCTGTTAATGTATAGTTTAGTTCCCATCTATAGCAGCTTTATATTACCGACTGAACAGCCTGCTGGTGAACTTAACGCTCGTTTGTTCTCCTGAATGGATTGCTAGCTCAGTGGTTCTTCCGACTAATGCACTTGTCAAGGTTTTAGCCTGCTTGGTCTCTCATCCTCATCTTTCTCTTCTTCAGCTCCACTAAATGGTGCATGAGAACCACCTCTCTTCCAACCTTTACCCACAACAGGTATATACGGGTGATCAAAGGTTAAAAGGATGTGTCACCATAATAGGGATAGTTTGTCCAAAGGCTAGTGAAAAGGAGAATCTCTTCAAGTTACTGAAAAAAGGAACTATTTTTCACAGTTCTGTGGACATCACATTTGAAGGGGGTGAGTCTCCTCACTTCACCGTAATGTCTGTCTTCCCTACTCCCATACTGAACATCAGCTTATTTAACACTCTTCGCACATTGCAACGCTCTTTGCTTAAGTCTTCCCATTGTTCATCTGTTCACTCCTAAGCATCATTGTCTTCCCTATTCCCCACTGAGCACAGCTTGTTTAGTACTCCTCAAACATTGCAACACTCTTCGTTTAACTCCTTTCGTTTTTTACCTGTTCACTCCTAAGCATCATTGTCTTCCTTACTCCCATACTGAGCATCGGCAGCTAGTCTAACACTCCTTTCATCGATAGCGATGGTTGTCCGTTGCACTCTCATCAACTCATTCGACGGCGCAATTGTTTCGTTGATGCTTTGATATTCAACATCTATTTAGATGGTATTCAGCGTCTATTTATCGATGGCAACAGCTCTCGTCAAGCTGTTTGAAAGAGTCATCGCCGGGGTAGCAGCTTCGTGGTTGCCTGCTCAATTGTCGCCGAAAAGCGAACTATTGTGTTAGCAGATGATTGGTGGCTTTGTCCTTTCGCACACTGTTCGATGGCGTTGTTTTTTCAGCCCATTTTGGGAATTGTGCCTTTAGTCTTCGTTATTGATAGTAAAGAGCTGTCAAGCGGCGATGAACGCAGATCGTCTAAAGCGGACAGCGTTTTTCAGTGACGATGTTATTCGTTTTCACGCCAGTCGGGATCTTCGGCGACGCAGCATCTCGGTGCTTCTACGTGTTTGCTTCTCATCGACGACGGCAGTCTGGGTGGTCCTGTCGGAGATCTTTATCGACAGCGCAACTTTTTCTGCTGCTGGATCCTATCGATTATCGATTCGAGGTTGCCGAAGCGCTGGCGAGTAGCTTCCTTGGATTACCAATTCTCGATACTGCTTCTCGACAGCTTGCGTCCTGAGGGCTTATTTAGGAGGCTGTTTTCGTAAACTGTGCTATTTTATTGATCATTTTGCGCTGCTGAGCCTTTAAATTTGGTGCCTGAGCTAACTTACAATTATAGTTGCAATTTAGTAGTTTCGAGATGCCGTTGGTGTATGTTGAGCATCACCACCTTGTCTTGAATGTTACGGTTCCTAGGCCACGATGTGGAGGCATGTTCTTGCCTGGAACAATTTTTCATTACCGTTTCAGTACCGTTTCCCAATTCAGTTTTCCTAGCTCTGCAGACATTAAGATTTGTCATATTTTGCTTCAAAGTTTTTAATATAGAGGTCGTAGTTATTGTTTAGAATTTTATATTGCAAATATAATTGTGTGTGTGTGTGTGTGTGTGAATATAATTCTATGTAAACAGTTTTTTATATAACATTCTTCCTTTTCGAATAATGAATCATTACAGTACTCCTTTCCCATATCCCCCCTTTATCTCTTTCATCATTAGCATTCCTTTTCTGTTTTTGGCTCCATTTTCCTTCAAACAACCCTTTTTTTCATCCATTTCCTGTCCGGCGCCATTTCCTATTCTACCGGAAGGGCTTACATTCCTTCTCTCCCTGAGTGTTCCCAATTCTCCTTATTTAAATCCCCCTCCCCCTATTCTTTCAGTGGGGGTCTTCGTCTCAGGGCTACGTCTTGTTCCCGGCTCGTCTTCGTCTCGTTTTCGGCTCCAGCTTCGTCATCATCCTCGTCCATGCAGCCTCATCCCCCATTTTCCCCTCCCCCCCTCCCCACTCACAAGCCATGGCTGTCCTGCGTATTGCTTTACGTAACTCACAAATATTTGTTATTTTTCCTTTTGGCACTCATAAAACGTATGTCGCTTCACCACTCTTTCACTATATTATTTGTAAAAAATTTACACAGGTTTTACCCTGTAATTGATGCGGCAGTTATGGCGGTTTCCTGTTGAATTTAGTTCTCACGGTATTGTTTTGGAATTATTTAAAAGGAACTGTAAAATGTTTTCAGAGGAATTTCGGATTAACAAATCCACCTCCCTCCTTTTAGTACTTTGATACTATGAATAGCTCTCATTTCATTATTGCGTTTGTTTTCACCATTGATGCAGCTGGCAACTTCTCCATTCTTCACCATTTTGAGCACCTTATCTGCATACTGCTATACAGCTTTTCAAGCGGATTCTTCCACCGCACTGACGAACTTTTTTGTGTTCTTTTAACAATGCGTGGATGCCATTCAATTATCCGCTTTGTCCATCTGTTGTCTCTTATTCTCGTGTTGTTTTAATAATGCGTGGGTATTACTCAAATATCCACTTTGTCCATCTGTTGTCTCTCATTCTCGTGTTCTTTTAACAATTTGTGGGTACTATTCCATGATCCGCTTTGCCCGTCTGCTGTTTCTCATTTTCGTGTTCTTTATGTGGGTACTATTCAGTAATCCGCTTCGTCCATCTGTTGTTTCTCACTCTCGTGTTCTTTTAATAATTTGTGGGTACTATTCCATGATTCGCTTTGTCCATCTGTTGTCTCTCATTCACTTTTCCCCTTATAATAAAAAAAA